TTACTGACTTTATTCGAAACTGATCTACTAAAAACTTAGATTTCAAATTGTGTATAAGGAATTTATGACGTAAATCAAGGCTGCTCAACCCTTTTATTATTCGGTCGAAACGGTTAATTCAGATGTTTTTGACGTGCTACTGATTCTGTTACTGTTTCAATTACTCTCAAATATAAAATATAAATACAAGTATCAAAATAAAAAAAAAGTTGATAAACATCTACAAGTCTGGATTTTAGATGTGATATAAATTACATGTTAGACGCTGCAAACATTGTTGGAGCACCTATATTTCTGTTTTCCCTCCTGATCTTCATTCCCGATTTTGAATCACCTATTCTTTCATCCCTTTCTTGATTTCTAGCTTTCTTCTTCATATCTACACAAATAATGATAGTGAGCGTGAGTTTGTACTCCCTTGTAGATGTTCTAAGATAGTAAGATACTTCTGCCTTTGAAAAGAGTAGCTATCGAATTGTTCTGCCTTTCTTATTGTTGTGCTTCTCATAATTAATAGAAATAGTTGTCTTAAAAGCAGAAACCATCTCATAGTTTTTCTTTAAAAAATTTTCAAACATTTTTCAATCAGTACAGATAATTAATGAAGCATCATCATAGTGGCAGAATTGGTACTTCTTCTTATGCAGACACAAGTCTGCAAAAAAAAATTTGAGAGCGGTTTCGATTTTTCTTGCCGAATTGCATGTTTTTGGGTGTGCTGAATCCGAAAATGATTTTCATTTTGTCATAGAACGTCACGTTTTCTGTTTTCTTTATTATCTTAAAATAAAGGATGAATAACTGAAATAAATTTTTTTGCTTATCATATATAATGTACACATTAATTGGTATTAAATATATTTCTTTTTCCCGGTGAGACCCCTTTTGGTACATTTTCGCTTGTAGAAAGCATCTGGAAGGTCTCTCTGAAGCGTTCAGTCATAGTTTGCCGTCATTGAAATGCTCTATCTTCAAAAGTGAAATCATCCATTTTTCTCTTCACTCACATTTCCTGAATTCTCTGGAAATTGGTCAAGGTGGGTCTAAGTAAGTCTAAAATTGCGTTTAGATTCAATTCACTTTTCACATTCCTGGCAAAAGAATGTTCCTGCTTTTGACCCTTGATCGAAACAACCCATCAGCGTTCTTGGGATGATTCAAGTCTCTTACCAAATTATTCAGCTCGACCTGGAAAAACAATTTAGGACTGCTGTTATCTTCAAATTCAAGACTTGTCAACGGGTTCAGGTACAGCACTATCTTCGTCGGAACTTGGAGACACTTCAAACATAGCAGGAGCCTTGGTCACTGCCAATTCAGTTCCATGAAAAATGGACGAATAGCTGATTGGAGATTGGGGTATTAAATTAACTGCTTCCATTTCGAATTACACCTTTTCGCATTAGACAAGTAAAACAAGAGTACCAATCATCACTATGGTTCTTTTGCTCGCGCCATACTATATCGGAAAACTTTTTTCTTGCACTAAAACCAATTTCAAAGATCTTCAATACTTCGTTTGCAGACGTTATGAGGTGCCCAAACTTCATCCTCATCTCCAGCTTTCAACCCAAAATACGCGATGTATACTTTTTTCACATAATCCGTTATAATGCTATTGCTTTAGTACCATACTCTTCTGCATAGACGAAATTTCACTATATTGCACCAAAATCTATAGAACGATGACGAGATAACAAGTAAATGTATTGCGTCACTTTCAACAAAATCGGAGCGCCCACTTTCAGGTTACATCAAGTTTTGTTAATTTAGCTCAGCCAGAACGCCCTTCAGTTAGAAATGATGGCATGTATAGATTTAATAACAGTGATCAAAATTAAATTGACCACATTCATTTATGACTTCAACTAAGCCGAAAAAATTCTTTTTCTAAAAGGAAATCTTGCGATTCGCAGAATGATCTGACCTTCTGAGTTTTTTGAGTATTTTTTTTAATTTTCAGAACCTTTACATATATACAGTAAATCAGTAAATCTGTTGAAAACATCCAGACAGTTTTTGTTGCAGACCTGTGTAATTGCAATCTGTACGATGAAATCATACAAAAAAAATACTGCCACCAATCGCTAGCAATAATAGAAACTTCCGATCGGACCTTTTTGCACGGGTCATTCAAAGGCCACTGGCGAGCCATTTTGTCCCTTGGGCAAATCGTAGAGCAGCCTTGACGTAAATGAATGATTCTACTCACAGTTTTTTGATGAACGAATTAATTTTTGATTCCAATATGCGGTTGGTATTACAAATTGTTACTGCCGGAAAAGGAACTGAATCTGCTGGAGCATAATTGGTAATTATAGTAGTTCGCATTGGATCGTCTGCAAATCTTTTAAGATGTAATGCTGTCAAATAAAGAGCTGATATAGTAACACAAATCAGTACAAATGTCCAGAATATTCTGTAAATTGAAAAACAATGATTACAACCATGATTAACAATATATACATATCAATATATCGTCGGCTTATTACTCAATTGGTAGCAGCCGCTTCAAGCTTATTAGCTCTCCTCAATACGGTGTAGCCAAGTTTAAATTGTACGAACCTGGAGATGGAAAACAAAATAATCAAGAATTACAAACACCTCTGTAAAGGAAGTCGACACAAACTACTTCGCCCGTGAAACGTCTATTTATCCCTCAATAATGATCTAACACAGATTTACTGATTTATTTGAACAAATTGAATCAGTAAATTTTAAAATCCGCCAATCCGTAGAGTAGAAACGTGGTAGCCTGAAATATGTGCACTTCCTCTAGAGGAGTATTTGTTTTTCTTGTTTTTTCATCTCCAGGTTCATACAACTTGAGCTTGGTTACACTGTTCTGAGGAGAGCCACTAAGCTTAAAACACGTGTCAACGGCTGCTACCAATTGCGGGATATGCCGACAATGTTCTCTTCTGTTTAAATTTTCCCCCGAATCAAACATTATAATAATTATATGATTTTTCGTATGGGACGCCCTTTATTTGACTACGTTTTTGAGTTTTACTTGAAAAATAAGATATACCTACTTCAATATGTCATGTACCTAACAATTATAGTTTTTGAGATTTTTCGATTTTTCGGAAATTGGAGAGTTCACAAAAAAAGATCTCCGAAACAATTTACTTAAGCGAAGTGAATTTTTTTGTGAATAAAATAACGATTACGGAAAGTTTCAATGAATTCACATTCAGTTAAAGGTCTACAGGGTGTCCCAATTTGATGTTCCTCTGCTAACATATGCAAACTACAATATCATGCTTATTTTAAATGGGACACACTGTATTTTTCAATCCCATCATGTTCCAAATTATATTCTCTTTGAAAAGTTATAGAAGTATTATATGTCTATTTCTATTAGTTTTAGAATTATTTTCAATTATGTGAAATTATCATTTGTTCTCATCTATTTTGTCGCCTCAGTATGAAAAATTGAGAATTTTTCTATTACTAAAACTTATCACCTTCAGAAACTTGAGACCGAATTTGTTAAATCAATAATATGTAAAATCAACATTCAATTACTTAACTTCAATTATAAAAGTTAATAAATATTCAAATATAAAATGATATTCCATCAATCACAATAACAATAACAAATGTTCAAAATAGCAACCATACTGTTGAATCCACAGTGCTACTCGGTTTTCAAAAGAATTTCTCTCATTTCGTAACATATTTGGGATTATTATTTCAAAAGCTTCTCTAATTCTTTGCTTCATATTTTCTTCTGTTGTCGGGGGACTGCTGTAAACTCGGTTTCTAATATAACCAGACAAAAAGAAGTCCATTGATCTTAGTCCAGGGACCTAGGCCACCTAGCTAGGTGGCCAAGTATGTGGGTTTCCGGGCCCTATGCATTTGTTAGGAAACTTTCTGTTTAAATAGTTTCGCACATTAACTAAAAAATATACATAGCCCCATCTAATTGCAACATCATTTATATTTTAATATTGCTTGGAACATCTTCCAAAAGTTGCCAGAAATCGTTTTTTAAAATCTCAAAAATTTACGGCCGTTTAAATGACCATCAAAGAAATACGGGCCTATAACCTGCTATAATTCCTCCATATACATTAATACCCCACCGACTCTGACGATCTGTTGTGTGGAACAAGTTTTTCGTTATCGTAGTAGTGGAAATTATGACGATTTAGCAATCCGTTATTGTGAAAAGTCAATTCATCGCTAAACAGTACATTATAAAAGTTATAATTTTTTTCGCCAACATTATCTAATGCCCATAAATAAAAATTTAGGCGTCTTTGAAAGTCTATCCAATACAGGCGTTGATGCATTTCGATGTGGAAGGGATGGTACTTATGTTTTTCAAAATTCTAGACACACTGGACTAACTTAATCCGTTCTCTCGTGCTAAAACTCTAGTGCTAGTGTTCGGATTTTCAATTACCGACCCCAATAACATGAACTGATTTTCATCATCATCGGTGACTGGTTTTGTTGATGTCTTCATTCGATATTTTACGCTTCCTGTAGCTCTGAAGGTTTAATATATTTTTTCAAGCGTCCTCTTATCAGGATGTCGCCGATTAGGGTAATTACGTGCATACACTCGTTCTGCCAAAAAAAAATTCTCAAAACACTCACCGAGTAGTAAAATCATGTCAATTCTTTCTTGTATTGAATTTACAACTACATTTGTATAATACATTTAATACTACATTTTTACAACTTTTGTGGATACCGGTTTAGACAAAACAAGTTAACGGTCTGAATAAATTTAAAAACTGATTCACATTAATTGATAGCATCCTACTTCAGAAAAAAAGGAATAACTGACAGTCTACTTCGAATTTTCAAAAATGCAAAACTTTGAAAAAGATAAATACTCAAAAACTCAATTTTTTTTTAAATTCACTGGATCTACAGTTCAACGCCGATTCCGAACGGCCACTGGGTTTGTAATCGATGTACATTACCCACCATATATCATTATTTTAACTACTCAAATCATAGACAAACACAAACACCCATGCCTTCAGCGGGGTACGAACCCGTGTTTTACTACACCATAGTCGGGAGTTCTACCGACTAAGCTATGGAGACTGACTTTAGAGCTTTTCAAAAAACTGATGAAACATTCAGAGGTGAAACCGGTATGAAAAATATGAAACATTTATCTTTTTTGAGAAGAAGCACTCATCCCTTCGCATATTAAAGTGACAAAATAGATGAAAATATATGATAATTTCACTAAATTGAAAATAATTCTAAAAGTAATAGAAATAGACATACAATACCTCTATAACTTTTCAAAAAGAATGGTAATTCGGTACATGATGGGATTGAAAAATGCAGTTTGTTCCATTTAAAATAAGCATGATATTGTAGTTTAGATATGTTAGCAGAGTAACATCAAATTTTGAACACGCTGTAGATCTTTGAGTGAATGTAAATTCATTAAAGCTTTCCGTAGTCGCCCTTTTATTCACACAAAAAATTTCACTTCGCTAAAGTCAACTGTTTCGGAGATGTTATCGTTTTTGTGGACTCTCCAATTTCCGAAAATTCGAAATATCTCAAAAACTATAATTGTAAGTAAAGCCCAAAAACGTAGTAGAATACAGGCCGTTCCATAAGAAAAACCATAACTTTGGTATGTCACACATTTCTGGAGCACCTGTATGTATCAAATTATTTTTAGAATGTACCCTTGATGAATCCCCACATGACTGCGTGGTCATATTATTTTAAAAATTAACCGTTTCGTAATATTTGATGTCGAAAGTTGATAGTTTAAGTTTTCGTTCAAAACATTGATGTGAACGAGTCTTTGAAAGTTTGATTCGAATCATTTCGATATTGCGAATGAGAATATAAAAATGCCACCGTTGTATGCCTCTGAGTACGCACTGATCTTGTCACTAGAAAGCGATCTGCAATGCTCCAGAGAGCTTATCTCATTTTTTCGATAGAGGCAGCTCACGCGATTAGTTCACGAATGAAATATAGGGCCTGGATACCTTTCGAAAACCATCAAAACTTGATTATTTGGATGCATGCCACTGAAGATTCCCATAATAGAATGAAATAATTGTATGGTATTGCATATGTTTTTCGTAACAAACTCAATATTAACTCTAGGTTTTGTTTTGGAAGACAATATTTGTGTAGACAGACCCTCCAGCCATCACCAGATCATGTTAGTCACCGTTATAAAATTATCGCTCATTACTAGCATTTCGTATGATAACATGGCTAAGCAAGGCATGCATCAGTAGCTAACATAGTAGCAAAAGTAGCCCGTCAAATTTCATAAGTCGAAAGAACTTCGCTAATAATCAATCTCGACTATCTTCTATAACTGTGTAGAGTATAATAAATAATTTTGCCGATTATTGAATATATGATAATGAAACAATCTTCAGAATTTTCTCATAATTTAATACAAATACGCATGACGACGTTTCGTTGTACTACTTCTTTGTCAAATGCTGAATTAATACAGCATTAATTCAGCACATTACACATTACATTAATTCAGCATTAACACAGTATTAATTCAGCATGTGATAAAGAAGTGGTACTTCGAAACGTCGTCATGCGTATTAAATTATGAGAAAATTCTAAATATTGTTTCATTATGGTTTTTAATTTTCTCCAAGTATCGGCCTCATCAATCATCAATTTGAATATATGATCATGAAATAAATTCTATTGTCCTGTAAGGTTGATGAAAGCATACTTAATTCTACATAAAATATAATAACAAACTCCTTCATTTAGTTTATATTCAAGTAAAACATAGCAAATTTTTTTCAATGCAATAGCAAGTGTACTCTTTTTCTTTTGTTCAATTTTTATCAATAATACAATTTTTTCAATATCCAATTTTTTTTTTGAATAACGGTCAATAACGGACCTTCTAAGACCTGACAGGGCGGATCCAAAAATTAGCTCGAAACAAAAAAGCTTACAACAGTAAAGTCCCATAAAAATATTATATTCACTGTTCTTTCATTTTTGGCGATAAAATAAGACTTCTCCAGATATTTTGTTTCGAAACCGGTGTTTCAACCGATAGGTTTTCAAGCCAAATCCTTCAATAAAATTAGCATAAATTTGGTGAAAACGGATATGATTTTCTCAAAAGGCAGGCTGATTGAAAAAAAATACACAAATTGGAGTTCATTATTATTTGTCATCAATTAGTCCATTGATTCACTGCCTAAAGCCTTACTTATAAAAAAATTTGGAGGTTATTTTTATAAGCAATTTATTTGAAATGACACCGGCACAGCACAGCATGATAATTAGTTGCTTCTTTATGTATTCATGACTTTTTTGTAATTAAGACCTGTTCTGTAAAACGTGTATGTTCTCTAAAATGAATGAATAAATCACAGTTTACTAGCTATGTCCATTTCTTGTATAAATAACCTCGTGCTTTTTCAAATTTTGAGTTTGTGCTACACTTCCATTTTTTGAATCTTATTGAAAGAATTGTCTTTTCATCTAATGAAGCTTAGTAAAAATTCCCTTAATTTTTTGAGTAATACTGTTTCGAAAGATTTTTGAGTAAACTATTTCAACTATATTATAAAATTCCAGATAATATTAATATGACTTCACCAGCAATTTCTTCAATGTTTTCCCCAAACACGCCCCAGAATGATTGAGAAAAAGGAATTGAACAAGTTGATTGAATCTAATCTTCAAAATTTTATTTTTTAATAAATGTTCAATGATAAAAATTGGTTTATTTAAATTATGGCACCTCTACAATATAAGCTCTGAGAACGTCTTCACGACGTCTATTTTTCTATACTTATTGACGCCTTTTTAACGTAATTTAAGGCCAGCTTACTCCAAACAATTTTGAAAAAAAAAATTTTTTTTCATAAATTGCTACTATATACTCGTAGAAATAGTATAGAATTAGTCCCGAAGGTCAGCAAGACCGAGAAGCAGGTATAAAAGATTAGGGAGCGCTGCAGTAAATCCGGCCGCTCGAACGCCTTCGGTTGCGGCAGCTGCTGCATGCCTTCGGGTCCTCTTATTGTTTTGTTCTTTGTTTTATTGTTATTGTCTTGTTATTTTGTTGAAATTTGAGCAATGCAAGAATTCTTCAGAATGATGCTTACGAAGACCACAAAGGAGTTGTGTATGAAGCTGGAACGGATATGTGAGTAAAATTCACTCTTTTTACGTATACGACACTCTTCACGAATAAAAACTTTGAACTGATTCTTCTCCGAACCACGTTGTTTCGCCTGAATTACACTCTCATTTCAAAACTATTGCACTCATCGATATGAACCAAACGGCATTTTACTCTTTAGATGTCTGGCTATGGCCTCAACCAGAACCAGAAATATTCAGTATTATTTAAAAAAGTTATAAACAATTAAATGTGAAAAAAAGGGTAAAAAAAATTTTAAAGTCCGCGATTTCGTTTTTTTTATTGAAAATGTTTCATTCTGCTTGAGGTCATAGCCAATTCGATACAGAACATGAAACCGTTTTGTTTTTTGCTTTCAGATAATTCTTTTCCAAGAATTGATGTCATTCATCTCCGATTCAGATGAGTTTCAGCAGCCATTTTCAGGACCGCCATTTTGAAAAAAAAATTATTTTTTTCAAGTAATTTCGTATATGTGCTTTTATATGTAAATAAATTGATTAATCAACGTGTTTTGTACTATAAATAAAATATATTGAAAAAAATTACGTTTTTTGGAGTAAGATAGCCTTTTGAACAGCTCAAAATGACGTCTTGTGGCTGTGACATTTCGACGTCACTGCATGGTCAGTGAGACGTCTCGGTCGACGTCTCTTCCGACTTATAGAAACCAATATATGACGTCATATTACCGTAACTTTGATACCTGGGTTTACTTATATTCGTATTGTTGTTCTGAGTTTCCAATGTCGTATCGGTTTCCAAATTGTCCTCGTTTAACACTAAAAAGAACATTTTTGTACGGCATATTTTCCTAATTCATAGTTTTTTCATCCTCCGTTTCATGGATCTGTGCGAAATCAAAGCTACTAGTATTCAGATAGGTATACTTTCTTTTATTTATAATTTTTTGCATCAGAACCTCTATAAAAATGCTATTCGTCTTATCAGTGACAACAGAAGAACTTACTTTTCACCAATAAAAACTTCTGGATCGCCTGTATATCTAATTCCATGGATGCTCGTGTTTTGTGAAAAATCAATAAAATTTTCTCTGATGATTTCTTTAGAACGTTTATACTTCATCATCGAATACAACACTAACTTCAGTGGAAAAATATACAATCAGAGGTGCATATCTCAAGTATAAACTGTATTAAAATACCTACTGAATCTGTAGGAAAATCAAGTCTACTTGGGTTAACATCTAATTTACACTACATATATATTCTAAAATAAATTAATTTAAGGGACCCAAAACATGCACTTCGTGTGAAATATATACCTTTCCCTATAATTAACACGTCAGATAAGGCTTTGTCATAGATTTTAACATAAAAATTTGATTTTGTCACGAAAATATTTACATGAAATTCCCGGAAATTGTATGTACATACGATATCGCTTCAGTTTGTGATTACTTATCACGCATTTCTTTTGAATATCTGAAATAGTCCAGAGGTAAAATTTTAATTTAACAATGCTTTTCCTACTATATTATGTCAGCAGTATCGCTGCGGATACGTTGCATATAGAGATAGATTGGTTGCATATATTTAGAAAGTAATATGGAATACTTATAATTATAAACTATGATTTAGACAGTGGATATAATATGTTTTATGAGAATATGCTTAGTATAATAGACATTGTCTCACCGAAAATTAGTATTAGTGTACATGGAAAGTGCAATCCAATCAAGTGAAATTGATGAGGCCGATACTTGATGTAAATCGATAAACATAATAAAACAATTGTTAAACAAAGATTTACACATATATTAAAAAGAATACTGCATGACGTACGTTTCGATGAGATTCACCTTTTTCAAATGCTACGTGCAGACTAATGACATTTCTCGAATACATAAAATAGGTAAACTTAAATTATGAATACAAAGAAAACAGATTAGATAACAGGTAGA